TTTTTTAAAGTCAAGCAATGTAGTATATAGTCAAATACTAGGGCTCTGCCTGATTTTGAATTCTTGTTCTTTCAATTCATAGTATAGGCTCTCTGTACATTTCCCCAGATATAAAATGATGATAAGAGCATCTATTTCATATGATGGCTATTTTTTAAGGATTAAATTTAAATGCTCAGAATAGTAGCTTAAGGTAATATACAGGCAGGCCCACCAGTACATACAAAACCCTGAGATGCAAGATGGCCACAACTGTCATACAAAACCCCTGGATGCAAAATGTCAAACAGATCGGATGGCACCTATGGCTCAAAGGAGTAGAGCACCAGCCCCATATGCTGGAGGTGGTGGGTTCAAACCCAGCCCTGGCCAAAAAAAACTGCAACTACAACAACAACAACAAAAAAAGTCAAACACATCAATATTTCTGCAGTGAAACCAATTAATATTTACACTGAGAGTCATAATTAAAGACTATAAATAGCTTCAGTTCAGGTTATATTTTGTAGCCTAATAAGTTGTACCACCATTTATGAAGGAAACAAACAAACTTTGGCTTTCAGAGTTTTTTAGATTTCTAAATGGCAAATAAAGGACTGTGGATGGACCTGGGTTACTATCAATATTACTGCTGGTATTCAGACTAGCCTTATACAAAGATAACTAAGCACATGTATGGCTATTCATATGGTGAATCTAACTGAAACACAGATTAGTAGATAAGATTAGAAAGATCAAAACACTGGCAAGATGTTGAGGACAGAGCTGAGGACTAGAGATATACTGGCCAAGGTCGCATAAAGAAGAAATAGGAGGAAGAAAGGCAATTACAATCAGACATCTTGAACTAGGATATTATTCTCTCCTTTTCAGGGAACAATTGTTCTGTTAATAGTAGCCCCTTGATTCCGTATCTCAGGATGTGCCTTCTCTTGACCCACTGAAAAATTGCAATTTATAGTTAGAGGCTTAAGATGCTTTAGGACCGTACTCTTCCTTCTCTATCATGAGTGTCCAATAAAAGCTTGCAACTACTTAGTCTGGGATATACAAAGAGAAATATAGTGAATACTTCTGTAGCTCCATTTCCCAATTTCTGTTTCCTGTTATCAACCCCTAACTTAAGTGCTGACGTTGCTGTAGATTCTAGGAAGTTCTACCTCCTTGGTCTTCTAACATTTGATAGCAAGAGAATTTATCTACTTCCTCTCTTCTGCACTCTTCCAAGAGGGTACGTGGAACACGGAGCACAAGAAAAAGGTGCTATTAATAAGGTACATAGCTAAGAGTTTGAATCCAGTAATCTATGCATTTATAACTAGTTTGCTTAAAGTAATCTGCTAAACCTGACTGATAAGTTCTAGTTCTTTTTTTTTTTTTTTTTT